ACGGTCGTTTATAGTCGCACAAAGTAATCTTTAGGCACTACTCTAAGTTGACAGGTGACCTTCATTGACGCCCGAGTATTTCAGCCAGGCCTGCAGCCTTGTAAACAGAGCCCAAATTGTGCGGTGTTATACAACTGTCTTTTGTTCACGAACCTGGCTCAGTGCACTGCTGACCTCTTTTCAATAGGGGCCAGATTAGCGTGCAGCAGTGCTGTGTGGCTCATCGCTGTGGTGGTGGAGTGCTTTTGTCCCCGGTGGTAATCCGCTTGCTCTCAATGCCCCAAACCCTGGTATACGGTTTCAAAACAACGCTGGATTATCACCACTTTTGAGAGTGAAAAATGCCGGTAATGCCCAGCAGCCTGGTCTTTTGTTCCGAGTACGGTCTTTTGTTACAGGGCCCTGTTTCCTTTGTCCGAGTTCGGAGACCCCGGCCACGCATATAAACCATACAGCTCCGATTTCGGAGTGGTTAACAATGTCAAGAAGTGGTTAACAATGTCAATTACTTCATATTCATTTGTTGGTTAAAAAAATACGGAATTTGGATTAGGGTGTATTGAGTAATTCTTAAAATTATTAGCTGAATGTTCAGTCAGTATACTACTGGAAAGATTTAATAAAATAATCATTAAAACAATTACCAATGTCAACGGGGTCTTTAGCTGATTTACCTTGAGAGATTATAATATCACCTCGTAGAAATGAGCTTTTGTTTAGGACAGATTAATTATTTTCCAAGTGTTACGCAATGTTGAGTGTACTCTGCCACTGGCAGTATAGCGCCACCTAGAGATGCCTGGCATGCTTGACCCCTGACCTGTGTAACTTTCACGTTGTCATGAAAATCTGGTCACATTAAAGTGTTCTCAGAATAAAAGGCCTGTCTCAACCTGCATTGTCACAAAACAGGCAAGTTACGTTGTTCTTGGTCAAATTGACGTGTATAATACATTTGTTTAGATTTATGAAGTAGGCCCGTCAAGCAATTTTTATATTTTGTATATTTTTTTTTTCTTAAAGATGTGGGATTGGATAAAATACATGTACTTATGGTACAGTTTGTTTTCTTATTAATGGATCTCAATAGTGAGGAAGTAATCCATGGCAAATTTGGTCAGCAATTAAAATTCTTAAGTTGTTTTGCTGAATAGCAGGAAAGCACTTATCAAATAAAGAGTTGAATGAGTCCATGAATGTGTAAAAAGTGACCTCTGGGTTCGCACAGCTGGAAGTTTCAGACCAATCAGTGGCATATAGCTCTTTAAAAAATTCCAGATTAGTGTTTGAAAACTGATGGGCAAACGAGGAGTCGGTATTTTGGTGATTTGAATATGAGCCATCTGATTTTGGAATAAACATCAAGATCGGTAGGAGATCGGAAATATCAGTCAATACAATGCCTGATTTGGGTGAAGGTATTAAAAAATACATTATCTATCAGTGTAGCAGATGTATTAGTAATACGGGTCGGTATGCTAATTAATGAAAGAAAAAAATAAGATGCGAGTAGATTGATGAATGATTGAGTGCATGAGTTCATATGGTTTAATAAATTAATATTAAAATCACCAGCGAGAATACAAGTTTTGTTATGGAGGGCCCTATACGAGAACAAATATACATACGTGACTGGTGTACGACCCCTGAAATAATATCTTTGGCTTTTGAGTTACACACTTCCACAAAAAAAGGATTCAAGGGATTCACTTGGAAGCTTGAGGTCTTCTCTGATGATAAAGTTCAAATTGGAGGAAACATACTGTATAAGAGCAACTCCAACCCCCTGGTTCGGGACCCTTTCTGGTATTAACGATGAGTTGATAACCGGCAAGAAATAGTAACTGTGAGGATCATGTTTTAGCCAAGTTTTTAACGCAATCACAGAGAATTTATGTTTGATTGAATCCAAAAGAAGTTTAAGGTTTTCCCAGTTTTCTGTAAATTCCTTCTATTGATAAGTAACACTGAAATAACACTGTTACTGATTTCCTCTGAGACCTGCTCAGGTGAATGATACAGAGAATTATTACAAATATCATCTGATTTATCTAAATCAAAATTATCTTCATTATCAATTTGGAATTGATTAGTTTGATAATATTCTTTGAGTCGTTAAAGTCTCTGGCCAAATTTGTCCTATCTTCCCCCCCCCCCTAAGAAAAGAACATCAAAGTCAGAGGTTTTGCCAACTAGCAAACTTTGGCTGGCCATCAAAACAAAAAGGAATACTTCATGAGGAAAAGCAATTGTATTTTTCTTCACACAGTTCTTAAGACTTAACCACTGTGCCCAATTTAACCTACTTTTCAGTGCTTGTTGAGCCACTTTAAGACCACCTTGGTGCCTTTTCTTTTAATCTAAAGAAAACTTGGAAATTAGTGAGCAAAGTTGTGGCGTATCCAAGTGAGAAACCTCAATTTAATATGGCAATTTCTATACCAATATTTGTAGAAATTTGGATAGTTTGCAATCGTGCATTTTGTTTACTTTAGTGCTTTGTAGTTGCTTCAGTTCATAACAGAAGCACACTGACCAAAGTTTTGGTTCACTAGTTGAACAGAAAACTCCACAAAATGAGCAGTGTTTTCAGTACAGTGACAGCGCCCCCATTCGTCAGGAAGAGTGGAAAATGTTCAATGCTCAAAAATGGTTTTCAGGGAGACTGACCAAAATGACGTGTCAGATACTTTTCGTGCATTTAAATGGGAAATAAAGTGGCACAAAATTTGTGCCCAGGTAAAAATTCACATTAACCCCTTTGCGCCGAGAAGCGGCTATAGCCGCCGTAAAAATTGAGATCCTCAGCCCGCTTTTCAGCTATTATTCTCAGCCCATGCTCCAGCGAACAGTGAAAGAAGGCAGACCCTGGCTCTTGTATATATGGTAATTGGTCTTTGTGCGTAGCCCAAAAATGGAGACCGATTTTGCATCATAATCACCAGCTTTACAATAGCCCCACTTTGAAAAGAAGCAACAGGAATGTAGAAGGGTGAGTAGAGCCGCATGCCACCGAACAATCAGCCTTTTCACCGTGTAATTCAAAGTGTGGAGAGCATGCAGGGCCAAAAACCAAGAATTGGCGGTGTGGCAGGTGGCCTTCGTGGCCAAGCGAGGCTGGAATTCTTGGAGTCGGCTTTCGAGAAGAAATTCCCATCGTCAAGGGGTTAAAGACACTTTAAAAATGAAATAAACACCACTCCTAAAAAATGAAAGAAAGTGCTCTGCAATATTACATCATGTATTACAGTTAACTCAGGTGGTTAGCTGATGTCACACCAGATTGATAAGGCAGGGAACCAGACTATATACTCACTGGGCTCTGTGGGCGTCAGAGGGGATGTATGCTGTATTCCCTCCAGTGCAACAGGAATCATCTCACCGTCCTCCTGCTCCCAGAATACGGCAAAGTGAGGCTGCAAACACCATACAACTCGGTCATAGTCCTCCTCTCTCACCTGCCCAAATGGAACAATTGGAAACTGAAGGAATTAAGACTTGAACCATCAGCCTCTGGAGTACTACATCAGTGTACTACCTTCTGAAATACTAATACTTGACCTGTGCGAATGGCAATACAGGACAGCGTTGTAGTCCAGTATTTTTCAAGTACCAAGCTTACTGCCAGACATTAAACTGGTTAAGAGTGATCACAGCTGGAAAACATGGACAATGGATGGTAAATGCACCAATTTAAGATTACCAAATACATTTCAAATTCAGCTATAAACTACACATTATGTTTTAAGGAGAAAAGTACTCGGCCAAGCACTTTTGAGTATCAGTTCCATATTTGGCAGTACGCTTAGTACTTGACAATCTGGTACTCAGTGGGACAGCTGTCTTAGTATAAAATTACTACATATTCCAACGGTTTCAGGTGAAAGTCTACAACTATTTCATGTCCCATTCTTCAACAAGTCCAATAGAAAGGCTGTGGCATCAACAACAAACGTGACAGATCTCTGAAGAAGGAATGCTCTCCAAGGTGACAGAGGATCCACCTACGAGTACGAAATCTGTCTGGTACGTGGACAAGCTGTAGATGGATATCTTCTGGTCGGCTAGGAGCATGATGAGGGACTTGGTGGTCTTGGTGAGTCCGGCATTGCCGTCGGCGTCTGTGGGGCTCGGTATGGCATTGAGGACCAGCCAGATGGTGGGTTGTACCATCAGCTCTGTCCGGGAGGGGAGCTCTAGAGGGGGCATGGAAGGAACCAAAATTGGTAATATGCGTATTGGATAAGTTCAAGGTTGAACCTTTATGACAAATCTCTTTTGTGAGTCAGTGAGGGATTGCCAGATGCAGAGCTGTCATCATTAAATGAGTTAAAAGAATCAACAGGTCAGTCATGACTTGCGGGGTGACAACATCAAGGCTCTGCAAAAGAACACACATGCTTCTTCTGTCACTATCGCATCTGTCACTACTCTGACTTTGTTGGGACTAAATGCATTGTCCCCAAAACTCAATCCTGATTTGCCCAACACCAAAAAACTGATTGACCTAACAACAGAAAACTGCCCCATGACAAGGGGTTGAGGGTCTACCCAAGGGGGCTAAACCAGCTCGGTTTGACGAGGAGCACGCTGAGTACGCGTAACTAATTTATTGCGGCATGTATGGTCTTTGCGTACACGCAGAACGCATGCAAGAACCCGCTTGTAACCATCTGGCTTTCTTTCACCGATTGGGGGCGTACTTCAGCTCGAGGCAGATACTGAAGCACATGCATGCAAGAAGGAATTGGGAGGGATATCATTTCACTAACTATGCCGAATTCTCTTGGATATTTGGCAGTCAAACAAATAGGGAACCAAGATCACCCATCGAAAACGTGTATCAAACTGTGATATATATTCCTGGACCTTAACAAAATTGCCTTTGAGAAGTCATACTGACGATGAAATGATCAAGCAAGGCTACAGACCTGAAAGTTTGAAAAAAAAGTTTGTCATCAAGACTCACCACTAAAGCCGTGTTCATCGATGATAACTGAAAAATCATCACAGGTTTCGGTGAAACTGAAAAACTTGCAGCTGCAACAAATACCAAAAACTCATCACTATTTCAATGCTCACGTGTTGAAGAAGCACATCAACGGCGGCATTTCACTCAATTTAGCTCAAACATAGACACTGTGTTGCCATGGATACATGGGCATATGCACTGATCACTTATTTTCCCACCCCCTTCTGCCACTGACCAACCTAAGATATGAGGAAAGCAATTTTCAAAGTGACAAAAATCCCCACCCCTGGAAAGGCTCTTCCACGTAGTCTGCCGACGGATAAAATGTTTTAAGTGAAAAAGTCGGAGCCTGGGACTTGAAAAATGTGACCAAACTGTAATATAAGACCAGGGCCAGTGGAGGTGGCGGGGAGGGGGGCGGGGTCAGTAGGGGATGGGTTGATTGGCCTGTCCATTGCACCTGTGCATTGTAGTTTACGAGTCTAAAGGTTTTCATCTGTCAAAAAAATTGCTCTACTCTGCAACACAGAAATTTTTCACACAGCTGAAGATCACATCTTCCAGAATGAGAATTGTTGAATTTACTTGATAAACCGTCAACTTAGAATTACTCATATCAAACCACAAAACTGAAAGTTGCAAATGATCCAGGCTTAAAGAAGAAACGGGAAAGTCTCTGAACCTGTCCAGGCACAAAAAGAAGTTGTTGGACGTTGTATTGGAGTCCAGTCACAAGTCCCTTCACTAGGTCAGTCATAAGTAACACAGTGAACGATGACAAAAGAAATCTCTTGTCACAGTTCATTCGAGTAGCTTACATGTACATGTACGTCTTGGCTCATGACAGAGTGACTTGTGATGGAGTTACATGCACAGGGATTTGTGGGGACTTGTAATGACTTAAGTACAGCGCGGGTCTGTGCTGACCTTTGACCTTCGATGCCTACCTGGTGTGTTGGTGTAGCAAGGTGAGCTTGATGAGGGAATGTGAGAACAAGTCCAGATCTTTCTTCTGCATGGATGCAATATGAAGGCGGTGGCGCAGAACATGAAGTTCCATGTTAAATCCATCTATCATTCCTGTGAAGGGAACAGTCATATTTTACACATAGGCCTACAATGTAGTACTGCAGCACATGAACACGTCTCCTCTGCCACTACACAGTATGGGCCTTGAGCTGGACCAAGAGAGGGTGCTATTTTCTTAGCAACGGAGGCTCCTTCGGTCAGAACTGAACTTAATTGGTTCACTAACAACTGGGAAATGCACGCGTCACGGTCACATTGCTACCAACGACATGAACACTCCTGACCAAGGGGCTCTTTTCAAAGGATGTGGGCTGTTTCTGTCCGAGGCACATACATGTACATGTACATGTACATCCATGGTTTAAAGGGGAGACATTAAGGCTAGATGCCGTCAGGCGTCTTATGAATCAGGAACAGAACACGAGCTGTGACAAAAAAACATGGCTTAAAAAATATCATGGTACATGGGCGATTTGTCCTTGGTTAAAGAAAGATATTTGGATTTAACAATAACTCAACATGATGGAACCAGATCATATGTACATATTGTATGTACATATTCAAAACCTTGTAAGGTTAACCCTGAGAGTCCTTAATCGTTTGCCTGTTGAAAGATTGAGGACTGTCAAGGTTAAAGTACATAAAGACATAAAACTCAAAGTTTCAACAATGTACGTAGTCTGTTAATCTTTCCCTTTCTGAGGACCTTTCTCCAATGTAATGAACTGTACTACATTGTGATATTCCAAAAACACTTAAAAGACTGCCTAAATCATTTAAAAAATATTGAGGAAAGAGTTCCACACATGGACAACACTTGATGACACGTTTTCTACAGAAATGCTTCAGAATGGTCTAAGCTAAATTTCACTTGTTAGGATGTTATCATTTTCTGACCGCTATTATAACATTTTAAGGGAAACTTACTATTGTCTGTTAGTGGAACTCTTTCCAGTACTGATTTGTGGAATAATTATGGTGGAGTCGAGTCACACAGGTTGCGTCCAAGTTTACGAAATAGACTGGTACCAATAGCACACGCAACATGTGGAGCCAGCTCAGCCATTGGCAAGACACATGCAAAATGAGGCACACAAAGGGTACAGTGCTGTGTAATCGCCATCGAGTGGATAACGAGAGATTGATGAGTGAAAACTGAGATTTTTCAAAAAGTGGTCTGTCGCATGGTAGCTAGGGGTACATGTAGGCCGAACTCATGATGGCCCTCATGGGAAAATTTGACAGAGAAAGTGAAATTTGTATCACCAGTAATTTACCTCAAGAGGCTGGATCAAAAACAGATAGCGCTGTCCCCGTACATGTATGTGTATGAACAGTAAAATGGCCAAAAAGCAATGAAAAACGCATAGAGGTGCCTGTTTCCAGAAGTCTTCTGGGAAAGATTTGAATACCCCAACCAGAACTGATTAGGAACATCAAAATCTTTGAAAATATTTATCCGCAGGGTTCCCATGGTTCCTGCACCTAAAGGACAACTAAATTATGCGACTTTTCCATGACCAAATTATTAAAATCCATGACCCAATAATAATAATGCAATTTCTTGGACTATTCTGACTTTTAAAGTTGCGAATAAAATCACACATTTTACGCACTTATTTCTGATAATAGAAATCACACAGAGTGCTTGAAAATTCCATGACTTTAGTCATTTTTACAAAATTCAATGACTTTCCAGGCCTGGAAAACGATAACAAATTTCCATGACTTTTTCATGACCTTTCCAGGCCGCAGGAATTCTGTATCCAGTTGTGTTCAGAATTGTATGCTTGGCGCAATCCATGCAATCCATCATTTCCAGATTTATTTCGGTAAAACATGAAAACCCGGACAGAAAAAAGGCCTACCCGTGAACATGATGAACCTTTTGAGTCACCATACAGTGCCAAGAATGTCTAACATAGAAAACACGATCTTTCCTCCCCTGTATTCCACAAAAATTTCCTGATGAAAGTCTTGAAACTGAAGGTTTTGCCAAGCAAACTGCCATGCCACTGGATAGCTATTTTCGAAGATATTGCTTTTCCAAACTGATTTTCGTATGAGTACTTAAGTAAAATCTTTCTGTATTCTGCTCCCAAACATATGCCAAACTATGGATGGCTAAAAGTACTGCCAAACATGCCAAATGGTTGATGTGATAAGATTTACTGCTGACTGCTATACATAAGCCTACGTATGATCATGGAGGAAGCTCCTTCCTCCATGGTATAATACAGGCCAGGCGCCACGCACCACTTACTCAAGTCTCAAGACAGTCATGCATGACTAGCCTCTCAGACTAGTACTGGGAGACTGTGACAGTGTTTTTCAAAATGTCATCGTCTCACGGTAACAGAAATAACGTACCATAATCATGACGTCATCCTTTACACTGACTGAACTTTCATTTATGTTCTGGCACAAATTAAATTTCGGATCTCACTGCACAGGTCCCTGCATACCATTTCTGCTTACTATACACGTGTTTTTCTGCTTTTGAGAGAGCGCCATCTATAGGTCCAGAAGTTACACATGAAATCGGTAGAGGCCGCTGTTTCAACAAGTCACCGCCGCCATTTGGGGTCTCAGGACATGCGAGTAACCCCTTTGGCGTAAAAAAATCCTGGAAACTGTGAACTTGTGGGACGACTTGCCACATTAGAGGGTGAGTTTTTAACATAAGTATCTTTTTCAATATTTCGTAACACTCTTGATAGTATATCGAGTATTTTAGAGAGATTTTCACTACATTAAATTGTAACACGGTTCCATTAATATGAGACTAGTTTTCGTTCTAGCCATGCTTTGTGTATGGCAAGCCCTGCCCCCCTGCTCGTGTCGGTCTCCCGATATCTTGGTGATTGATATATTGATGGTGAAAGTTGGAGGGGCAAGAACGGTGCATCCTGGCTCCACTTCAGTGGCTGTGTACAAAGTCTACGGGTTGTAAAGACAATTTTTAATTATAGGCCTAGGGCTAGGCCCATTTCATAACAAAATTGGAAATTTTTCTCAGTCCTAGCCCCACTAGTGTGACACGGACTCTCACTCCCGATCCATCCTTAGCCACACATCCGTATACGCAATTTTGTGTCGGCGTATTGAACATTCCGGCGCACCCACTTATCATCGTGGGCGCAATTTCTTTTGCACACAAACATGATTCTTGACCTTTCCGCTTTCTGAAAACCATTTATTGAATGATTTCACTTAAGTTATTCAGGTATTTTCCAGTCTTTTTGCCTTTATACATTCAATCTAACAGGCTCGCTCTCTCAGTCGCCATCTTTAAAATAAGGTCGTCAAGTAACGTAATGCTCAAGTCAAGTGAAATCATTCAATTAATGGTTTTTAGCAATCGCAAAGGTCAAGAATCATGTTCGTGTGCAAGAGAAATTGCGCCCACGATGATAAGTGGGTGTGCCGGAATGTTCAATACGCCAACACGAAATTGCACATATGGATGTGTGGCTAAGGATGGATCGGGAGTGAGAGTCTGTGCCATACTAGTGGGGCTATCTTAGTCCCAGATACTGAGATTCATGTCTTATCAGCATTTCTGCAATGATGGATCTTTGTTAAGATATGGAGGCAGGGTGCAGCATTCTTTCCATTTGTGGTTCAATTCATTGAGTAAAAATGGTTGACAAGATAGTCAAAACTATCAACATAAGCCTTATTGCTGATACCCCATGGGTCATTTTGCACAATGGTAGAAAGGCATTGTGGGAAGGAAAAGGAGGCAATGTTTGCTTTTTTTTTGTCCCATTATGCCTTTGTACCAGTGTGCAAAACCACGCGGCATCAGCAATAAGGCTTATGCACTTAGGCCTATACGTACATGTCGTAGGCCTACATGTACATGTGACTCCTGTCATGCTTGCCCTGGGCATGACACTGACAGGTTTAAATTCATCCTGTCTATCTTGTTATACATGTAAGCCTACATACATATCCCAGTGACGGGCAGATACTAAGCTTAAACGATGTAAGTTCAGTTTGAAAGATTAGTCATGTTAGGGTGTAGGCCTACATGTATTTAGCTAATTCCTCTTCATTGAATGGTATCACTCCTACATACAGGGTTGTTTGAAATAAGGCTGTAGTAGCATCATTTCATTAAAAAAATTGTGTCTGCAATTCATCTGGAGAAAATACTTCATTTCTTGCTTTAATTTTCCCCATTTTGTTCGGAAGGTTCATTAGAATTGAGGTGAAACAACCAACAGAGAACCATGTTTCATTTTAAGAAGAAAGATCGGGATTCCAAGAAGGACTCCAAGAAGGAGAAGAAAGAACGTGACAAACAGGAAAAGCACAGTTTCAAGCAAAAAGACCGCCACAAGGAAAAGTCGATGACGGAAGAAGAGCTCAGCCGCCTGGATGAGATCAAGCGAGGACTGTTTCCTGGCCGAAAAATCAGCATCACGAAGCAGCAGTCGGCCAAGTCCGACCGAACGGATGGCTACCACGCACCGGGCGTGGAGATACGTAACAGTGAGTCCAATTACAGCATGGAGTTCACCAGTGGGAGCGACGAGGCCAGTGCCAACTCGGTCCGCAGTAGTCTTGAGTTCCCAGTCAGCCAGATGGTGGATGAGGATGGTGACAAGGCTGTGGATGTTAACGGCAAGATGGAGCAGACAGAACAACCTCCCTTTGTTAAGAAAGGCTCAGGTTCCAAGAAGAGTATTCTGAAGGGGAAATCCAGTTACGGGTTGCCGGATGTGTCTGCGGGGACAGTGTCTACTAAGCTGGACGACATGGGCATCCTCGCTGACAACACGGCGTACAATGAACTCATCGCGGAGAAGACACGATCGTCGTCGCTCAGGAGCGGGTCACAGTTTGACGAGATCTACCTGGAGCCGATCGTCCACAGCCCTGGTCCTGGGGAGAAGACCTTTGACGTGGATTTACCACTGCCGGACATTGTTGTGCCCAAGCCGCCGCGAAAGCGCGACGTGGTGCTGCAGCGGCAGCCCAATGGCGGGTTTGGGTTCACACTGCGGCGCTGCATCATTGAGGAACGGGGTGGGCTGGGGGGTGCCATCACGCGGCGGACCGTGCACTTTGCCGAGCCCAGCGCCACGCAGAAGGACAACACGTCCGGCTTGCTTCCAGGTGATCGCCTGGTGGAGGTGAACACTGAGAACGTGGAGTCCACGCCACGGGACGACATCATCGCCAAGATTCGTGGCTCCACTGATACAGTCTCGTTGAAGGTCCAGCCGATTCCAGAACTGATTGAGCTGAGCCATCGACACGGAGTAGATGGATCAGAGATGAATCTCGAAGATCAAATCCTGAAAACAGGATCACTCGCCCAGAGTTCTAGTCTTCGCATTGAACGAGATAGGGTAAGTGGATTGTCCCCTCTCCCCGCCGAAAAAATGTATGCGTGCAGTTTTAATACAGCTAATTTTATAACTCAAGCTTTTACTTTTACCATTTCAAAAAAAAATTACTGTCATTAAAAATCATTTAAGTATACTAATGACATGGGTCCGTTCACAAGGGCTACTTCTGAATGGAAGGTCTCAAAAGAATTTCGCCCAATGTACTTGAATTTTCAAATGGTACCTTCATTATTTGTCATCCACATCCATATTTCCATTTTCATGTAGATGCCAGATTGAGTGAAACATTTAAAAACTCAGTTTGTCTTTTTTGATGCCAACTAAAACAAAATTGCTGAGAGAAAAATGCCCTTAATTCTCAATTTGCATGTTTTGTAGCATCTAGTCACATTTGTGAGCTTAGAAGATGTCAGTTTTTGTACACAGCAAGTTACCATGTAGCTGGCATAGGACCGCTTGAAAATCTTAACAGTATTTGTCATTTCACCAGTAGTTTATACAAATGACGATTCTAGAGATTTAAACAGCATTCATTTTTTTCTGACATATTTCTTGCAGTATCACAATGATTTCTGTTCCCTGCATGACGCTGTAAGTTTGATTTTGAAACAACACTTTGCACCTAATCTGCCACTAATGCAGCATTTTTCACTCATGCCAGCAAACCATCAACGGCAAACTGCAATTTAAAGTTTCCTTTGTCAGTGTTGTTTGTATGCTCCAGTGAAAGTGAGTTCAGAGATTGGTCATTCATTGGTTTTTGCTAAGTTCACCTTAAAAAGACAGTGAACGCATTTCAAACGTCCAAGTTGGAGAATTTTGACCCAGAAGGTGAGATTGCATGGGCAAATAGGGTGGGACATCAGACACTCTTTGCCTCTTTACTTCACTTGAACAAAGTGGACGGCAGTCTTCACATGGCAGACCACCTGACCTTGCTAAATGGCGTAGTAAAAGCAAGTAGAGCTAACTACAAATCTAATAGCACAAGTACTGTATCTGAGCACTTGTTTCTAGTTTCGCCTTCTGCATCCAACATCCAGTCAATGCCATGACCTCCCCAACCACTTGCAGGCATAGACTTTAGACTGGGCTGACCCTTTCAAATGGCCCTCCTAGGGTCCTCTTAGTTTCTGTTAAATCCCAAATCCCTTAGATAAACACTTTCAGATGGAGCATTCCAGGGGCCACTGCTCTCACTTGTGCATGCCTATGGGAATTTGCATAGGTTCCTACATGTACATACCCATGGTGCATAGGGTGGCATACGGGTACATGTACAGGTGTATATCACTGAAGGTGACAGTTATTGTTCAGAAACCACTCAACCATTGTTAACCACAACAATAACTGAGCATAACCTTTTCATGAATCAGCACTTTCCACGAGTCCAGGAATGCCCTTCCCAATATCTGAATGCCAGTTTCAGCAGAAAGGTGGCAATAAATTCATAGAATGTTGCGGTGGGACCGCGGCACCGCGGCACCGGCGCTTCAAGAGGGCAGCAATGAATTTCGGCCTTTTGAGTTGGAGTTTTACAGTTCATTTAATGTGGGGACAAAATTTGATGAAAATGCCAGCTTTGCATGTCCAAAATAAAGGTTGGAATTTTCATTCTTATTTTGCAAGATCCGCTACAAATTTAAAATCTCCATTCATTGTGGTTTGGAGTGAGTGTGTTTGTTGCTGACTTTAAAGGCCAATTGAAACGAAATTTTGTCTTTATTTAAATGTACATGTACGGTACATCATAGTTTGGACTTTTAGTCTACCTGTGATATTGTGGCTGGTTATCAGTACAAGAGAAAAAAAAAGAATAACCCACAAAGTTTGAGAAATTGCTACTGCTTGTAGTTGCCTCTGTATTTGAAGCTAAAAGCTTTTTTTTTTTTAAAGTAATGGGATAAATGCACATTTTTAGGCAAAATCTGACACCAACCAAAGGTGATATTTCTGCAAACGTTGCTTGCCTACATGTACATGTAATTGGTAATTTAGGTACCTTGAGAAGGGCATGTTGTCGTTATGTCTTCCAATTCACAAAATGACAGGACATCCCAACATGACCAATGAGACTTGCACTGCTTGTTGGTGAATTTTATTACGGGGATTGGCACTGTATTGGAATGTGTGCTACACTACTTGACTGCTTCTGCATGTGTATCACGTGCCAAGCAAATGCATGAATCATTCATTATTTATTAATCAGTGATTGACATGAAATACTTCATGCAAATTGACAACCATGAATTATCCATCATTTGACAGTGCATCTTATCAAAATTGTTCATACAGTGGCACATTCATCATGAAATTTTTCTTGCTATGGCAAATTGAATAGCATGAATTATTCATTATTTAACATTCTATTACATCATGAAATTTTTCTTGCTATGGCAAATTGAATAGCATGAATTATTCATTATTTAACATTCTATTACATTATGAAATCTTTCTTGCTGTGGCAAATTGAAAATCATGAATTATTCATTATTTAACTTTCCATTACATTATGAAATTTTTCTTGCTATGGCAAATTGAATAGCATGAATTATTTAACAGTTTTGCACCTCATGCAGGTTTCACAGTTACCCATATTTCATTCATGGACAATATCATACAAATTTCCATCAGGATATTTCATAATTTCAATTCACAGTATGGTTGACAACATGTGTACATGTATACAGTTAAACCACATAAATCAAAGCGAAACCCATATGTTCTGTTATGAGGGTTAGATGTAAGGTTATTGCTGGATTCAATCAACTCTCTATCAATTGTATCTTTTCTAAACAAAACAAATACCCCCTCCAAAATATATTTTGTAAAATCCTGGATTGTGGCATTTGAATCAAAGATTGTTCTTGCCCCCACATTTCACTGCCGATTTTCATTCCATTTGCTGCACATGTACATTCATTGCCGTTCGTGAATTTTCCAGCTTGAAACGTTTGTATCAAGCCAGACATGTACAGTCGCGACATCTACATAGGTACATGTACACGGAAGTAGCCTAAGTCGGGATCATTGATAAGTCCCAGTTTGAAGTTCATTGAATTATTAACTTTGGAGTTTGTTCTCTGGACTGAACCCCTTCATTTTCTTCTTGTGCTCAGTTCAGTGTGCTTGCTTGATGTGGACACAAAGTGTTCAAATTTGAACAAATGCCATAACTTTCAAGCATGTTTGTTTGTTTGATACCAGAAATTCTTATCTTTTGAAATGGACGATACCGGTACATGCATACATATATGTGTCATTATGTCCTGTAGACTCGTCTTCATTCGTAAAGAGGCTTTACGCACAGACAGAAGGATGGCTTTGGATAACAAGAAAATTTGACATACATGTACATTTCCAATGTGTTTTTTTCAAAAGACCAAGTTCGTGAATAAAGATGCCAGTGCTATCTGTGTGCTTTCTGTTAAAATTTCTACATGGGCAATTTTTGAAGGAAAAGCCATCAAATTGGGGAAAACCTTTTTGTTTCAAAGATGTAAAACAGTCCCAGTAACTTTGCTTTGAAAATGATTGATGATCTAAATTTTCCTTTTTGAAAGTGATGGTTGTCCATGTATTTACATTTTTTTTAAATGCGAGATTCATGTTACGTATATGCAGTCTGATATGCAGTCTAATAAGTCATACAAAAATACAAGTTTTTTATCTTTTAAAAGGTGGAGAAACGGAAATTACCAGTCGAAATCATGAATAGATACATGTCCATTGTAATTTTCTTCTTGAAGAATAAAAAAAAATCAGGTGTGAGTAGCATGATGGATGTGCCATACTGTGCCCTTGGTGGTGCCTCATCTTCCTGGAACAACCTTAACCTTCTTTCACTCATCACGTCTGGTTGATATTATTCTGAACACGGTGTCAGTCATGTGTAATGGTCGGAAATGAAACCAGAGTTATATCCTAGGCTTTGGAGCATGGGGGGATGGGATTGCTTGCTCACTGTTTGGCTCCAATCGTGGTCCGTGTAACACTGTCCCTACATGTGCATCTCTGTCAGGGTTTGGTTGGGGTTTCGTTCAGAATCTGCCTCAGACAGAAGGATCTCGGTTTCAATATTACAGGGTTTGTCTGACAGATAAAGCACATGCACAGATAAGCTTTCAGTCTATAGGAACTACAAAAAAACAGCCATGCCAGTGACTTGCACAACTCTTTTAAAAGCACTGAGACCAGTGAAAGGTCAGTTTTTTCCCGGAATTTTAATTAATTTTCGTAACAGTTGATATCATTTTTCAACCTCCCAATTGTATAAAGGCTTCCAATTGAGTCTGAAATGTGTAAAACAATCTTAGAATGAAAGTAAATACCCATGGACCGGTTAGGCCTTCATCATGTGCACACTGTACATTACCTGTATTTTGCAAAATGTCAAAGTGTCTCACAACAGCAGGTGTGCAGAGCACTCAGACAAGTTTAAAGCAGCATCGCACTGTACAGTACACTACCCTTGTTTATGTACATACATGTACATGTACATTGTAGGCCAACAGCACTTACATGTACATGTACATACATGTATGTACTGTACATGTAAAAGTTGAAAAGTTACATGTACAATTGCACATGCACCATTTATTGAAACATGTTGTACTGCATTGCAGTAGGCCTAATAACAATCACAGATCATGTACAGGAACTGTGCACTGTATAGTGTATACATGTACATGTACTTACATGTACATGTACTTACATGTGTACACATGTACAGTATGCACATCAAAGTGTGTATCTGTCAGACCATACTAGTCTTGGCCACATGTACATGTACATGTACCGTACCGGTATATATGCAGGTGTAGTGCATAACCTTGCTGGAACCAGCTTAATTTCTCTCTGAGTAGAATTACCCAACTGAAAACACTTGCTGTATTGAGGTTGTTTGTGTGTGCAGCGTTGGCCTTTCTATTCACATTTAATCTGCCTAGCTGCTTGTAAGCTACACAGCCTGCAGCCTCATAAGCATTCCTTGAGGTATAAGATAGGGGGTATCGAGCTTAATCAGTTCCATTGAGGAAGGAATTGAAAGAATATTCCTTCCTTCCTTGACATGTGGTTTACAAATGTGTACTGGATGCCAAGACTGTATGGAGATATATGTAGTCGCACTGCAATCTTAGATCTTGAAAATTCCCAACATATTTTTATAAAGTATGGAACATGCAGGGATTGATTTATAGAGGTGAAGTTATCCCCCCCTCCCCTTACAATTTCCTCCAGCCTTGTACAGGTACCACATTTTCCTTAGTAGGCCTACTAGTGCAAAGACATGCAACTGCATCCCTTCCTGAAAGACAAGGGCCACATGTCTGATTTACAGTCCTTGCCAACGGCTGTTTAATAGCATGTGCATGTGCATACAGTACATGAAACCATTAGCTAAATGGCTCGCCTGAGGATACACCGTGTGAGCAGAGGTTGGAAGTTTACAACGGTTTAAATATTCATTAACTCACATCGAAATGAAGATTTTGCTTACATGTACTTGCAAAGCAACCGCATAAAGTGAACTGCTCTCATAATATACAGTACCATGTATTCTACAGCATGTACATGTATTCAAGGTTACAGTAACATTCTCATGTGATTTGCATACAAATGTACATGTACCTTGTACCACAGATGTACATGTACATGTATGTGCGTGCAGACCGTGTGTTCAAAGTTATGGAGTGCCTATTCTGTCAGCCAGGTTTTCCCTGTTTTTATTTTTCTCTGATCACTTCAGTTAGAATTCACTGAAAGTAAGGTCAGAAGTCCCGGTTGGCACCATTCATTTCACCTGCTGTGTGGGCACATTGTGAGGTCCTTGTAAACCTTCTGGCTAAGCCAAGCCCTTGTCACAGCAGGAGGCAGCCAGCTAAACTGGGAGCAAACCAACAAGACACACCCTGTGTCTTCGTGGAGAAATCTTTCTAGAAGTTACACTGTACCGGTACCTGGAGGGCAGTGAAATTTAATTTATTTTAACAAAGGGATACCAGCAAAAGTCTCTGTACGTGAATTTGTCTTCTTAGGGAATGTATCCTCGAGATGAGTGCAGTTGTTTAAAAAGATACACATCTACACTGTACCGATAGAGAGGAAGATTTTCTTAAAAGTGTGTTTTCACAGAATACATACATGTACATGTACACGTGTAGACAATATGGCTGCACGGCAGTTAAACATTGTTCACTGTGGCCTCAGTATTGCACAGGGGATTCAGTGATGTAGAACTAGCCAAATGTGACTCTTCTTTGGTAGTGATATGAGCACAGTATTCCATACTTTGCATGGAGACTAATATGCATCTTACGCATGTACATTGTTCACACAGGCATATTCAAGCGATAACTGTAGAAAATAATTTCACTCTTTTTCCACTGATAATCTAGTATTTATTTTATTAAATGCCAACATTTATTTTAGATATATATGTACATGTAACTGGGTTTACTGTTTGAGAGACTTTGAGTTGTCAGGCAAGGTTCCGCATTGCAGAATGTATCTTTATCTTGTTTTTCTGACTAGTGTTCATGGAATATTTACATTCAAGTCCTGAAGTTTTGCACAAAATTTTCAAATGTGATTGGGAGTTGTACCTTGGAGGAATAAGCACTTCAATTTGCATTGTTTCGATTGTACAGTTGTAAGTTTTTTGCTTCTGACGCACCACTTTGGAAAGGTTAGGGGGACATGAACATGTACTTCCTGCCTACCTGATCAACACAGTTTCATGTCACAAGAGACTTCAGGGTAATGTGTTTAGTCAGACCCCTGGTAGTTATCTTGTAACCATTGACTGAGACTCAACTCCAGCAACTTCTTTACTCATAATGCCCCTCGTTGTGTTCCAAATTTATCTGGTACCAGACCAGTATGGAACCTGCACTTCATTAGGGAAGGTCTTTCCTAGTTCCCGTAAGGTCAGGGCATGTGGGAAGGTGGCAGGAGTCATTCTGTAGTCAGGCCTCCTGCTCTGAACTAAAGGCAAGATTCTCTCCTTATCTGTTGCCCAAAAATGCGCCTGCTTATTTCCCGAAGTCACCTCAAAATCACGTGTACTGATTGCTCTAAAGTTCATCCACGAGGCTGTGGCAGCATCTCACTTGGCTATCTTGATGGCAAGCAGCATGTGGCATCTTGCCATCTGCTGAGGAATGTGCAGCCTTCCTTTTGGCTGCCTTCTTCCGCGTCTCCATCGGACCTCCTTTACCATGTGACGCCATCATTGGAAGGGCACCTTGTCGTGAGGAGAACACGCTGCTCAGGGTTGTGTCCATTTTAATCGTATTGCCTTTGCTGAGCTGAGACATTTTAGCTTGGGGCAGTGGAGTTCTAAATGTGTCTTCATTAGTTCCTTGAATCATAACCATGGCAACCACATCCCTAAAGATGAGGCAGAGCTCAAGCCCAGAGGAGACACTGGCTGTGTTTCATCTTCCACCAGACATGAGCAGCTGAGACCTCCATAATGACAAATCCTGCTGAGTGCATTAGGAAAGATACATGTCTGGAATGGGAACTTGTCTTCATCAGAGATCCACATCATCAGTCAACGTTATCCAATTGATGCTTCTCATGTTTCTTGGCTATTCTCTGGAGACTAGACGTCTGCTAAAAAAAAACCTGTGCAGAGGGCAAGCAATGAAGAAATCTACATCTACAATCAAACTGGTTTCCTCCCTCATGCAAAGTTCTGAATTTTGAAAAAAAACAGTGCTTCATGTCAAATTTACCCTAGTGCAAATATTGTGGGCAACAGTCAGCCTTGGGAACTGAGGTCACTGATTTCACTGAGGTCATTGACCTAAGTCACTGCCATGACCACCAAGCGGTCGTCTGTTGTTGTTTTCTTGAGTTCAGGTGTGAGAAAGTTAAGTTGACTAGGAGGACCTCGGTTGCAAGTGTTTTACGAGCCTGTTGGTTTTTATGGCATGTAGCAGACAGAATAAGTGTTCCATTTTTATTTGAAAGAAATGAATTACAGAGTATGTAGTTGAGGGAAAGGACTCTTCGTGGTGTTTCATAACACTGAACTTTGAACTTTCGTGGTGTCTACGTATGTTTCAGTTTTGAATTTAAGTTTGTCTTAGTTTTAGTTTCAGAACTAATCCGTTGCATCGCATGTACACATGTATAGTTGTGCATTGTACATGTACAAGGCTAATTAATTACAAATGTAAGTTGAAACAGTTCAAGTGAGTTTTTTACTGATACAAGTGAATGTGTCCTGTGTAGCTAAACAGGAAGAGTTGTCATACAAGAGAAGTTTTTTCCTCATACTGAGTGTAAATTTGCTCATGATTTTTGTGACACCTATGGAGAGTTTACTCGAGGAAGCTTTGAGGAAGAGATGTCGCTCTGCTGTTGTATGTTTACAGTAGGATTTGCACAAAAAGTGGTATTGTAGAAACTTAAATCCCTGCAGACATCTTTGTGTCGCAGGATTTACAGTGGATTGCTGTATGGAATGTAATATGGTTCACTGGTTGCATGCACTGTGCACCACCATATTACACTGTGCAATGTATATTTACCAGTATGGCCTTTGGGGAATCTAACCTTCAAATCTTTCTCTGCCTTGAGCTCCGCACTCATTTTCAAATATGTGTATCTCTACTGTTTGAACTTACTTGCAATATTCTAGTCTTTGGCTTTGAATTACATAAGTTATTGTTTCCAGAAAACCAAACTGCGCAGCTTTTATTGTGTGGAGCTGACTTGTGGTGAGCAAGTAGGAGAACGATGTCTTCTTATCATCTTGTTATTATCTGATTTGACTGCAGGCCAAGTCAGATGCCCAACTCGACTCGGAGAAGGCGTGGCTAGGAGCGGAGAAGGTGTGGCTCCTGCACAAGGCAGGCTTCACCGCCGCCCAGCTGCTGAAAGATGAGGGCATCGTCCCGTTGGCTGAGGGGAGAATCAGGGTCAAGTTGGTACACAGCGACGACGCCCTGGAGGTGGATGAGGAAGATGTGGAGAAGGTCAGTGGAGGACATTGTAGAACAGGCAGTCCTGCCTCCCAACGATGCCTATAATGCAGTGTCCTCCAATCTGTAGAAGTAACCTAGAGACCCATCAAATTTTGCTTGTCTCCCACCATGAAATTGCAGCCACCAAGCTTGAAAATCCAGTCGCCAAGTTTGGGTGCAGTACTACACACAATTATTTTGATGAAAAAAAATATATATATAGAACACAGATGTCTAAATGCACTAGACCTGAAACAAAAATAATTGGGCATAAACCCAAGCTAAGCTCAAGGCCTTGCTTCTTTTCCCTCCGCCCCCCCGGCGAAATTGGGATACGTTTTGCAGGAGGCACTTTGGCCCTCATTTTGTAGAGAGGGGAACTCAATGGGGTCAGTCTCAGTTGAACACATTGTAGATCATTTACAAATCGGCCAAGTATTTTTCTTTCAGTGTTCAGGCATTCCTTTAAAGATTCAGTTCCTCTCCTTTTTCCCCTTTCTTTTCAGGCTAACCCTCCTCAATATGACAGAGCAGAAGACCTGGCCTCCCTTCTCCATCTCAACGAGTCAGGGGTACTACACACCCTCCGGCAGCGCTATGGCGCCAGTCTTATTCACACCTACGCAGGCCGCAACCTGGTTGTCATCAACCCAATGCACCAGCTCTCTGTGTATTCAGACAAGGTAAGGTGGTGACATAAATGGCTCCTTCTCGCACTGTGGCTCCACTGTTTCAGGCTAAAATAGATCAGACAAGCCCGTCCACCAAATTGATGACATACAGACTGTAAAGAAATTACACATTGTTTAAAAATATTACGTGGAAGGCGAACTCTTTAATTCAGATGGCAAATTAACTTTGGCACATATCCCCCCCATGTTATTACCTGGTGTTCTGTTGTGTTCGTATTTTCAGTGTTTTCTAAGTCCTACAGCATTTTTTCTTTAGAAATAATATTTAATGAGATTTTGTAAAGTCGTTCTTACAATTACCTTTCGTAGATTTCTCATTTGTTGGCAAGAAAATTCCTGAACCTGAAGCTTTCCACGAATTCCCTGTGCTACAGCCTCTGAACACTGGAGTAAAACATGTTGTGAAGAAAACGCACTTTTGTAAATCCAGCAGGCCCCTGAATGTCCCCAACGTGTTCATTGTTGGGCAAATGTCACTTCATGAAAAGATCTAGGAGCCTATTTTTGTCATTTCATTCAAACTCTGGTATGCCTTCCAATCTCTCCAACGTGACGTGATCAGCCTACCATGAAGTCTTCATACATGAACGTATCCATAAATTATAGCTTACCTTTTTCAAGAAAAAAATCTACGATGTACATACATGTACGTTGAACTTATTTTCATGAACCTAGACCTGTCAATTGTACACTCAGTACCTATAGGAAAGTTATATTTCTGAACATACCATATACATGTAAGAGGAAACTTGAGTTAACGAAGTCAGTCGCAGTAGCACTGTTTCCCAGATGGTTATACATTTGATCAGCTTACGTGAACACTCTGGCAAGACCTGTTCAACATGTTGATCAAAAAACAGCCTGTGGACACGATAGAGCGTTCTAATAGCAAGGAGAAGAAATTACTGCCGTCCAGAAAAGACCTACGTATAGATTTGACAGTAACTTACTGGCCTTGTGTACCAAGCTTCTCGAGAGAGCAAATTACATTTGTCAGATAGAGAATTGAACGATTTACATTTGTTTACTTACCCAGTATGTGCCTCGTGCTGTACAGACATGTATATGTACATGGTGCACGCAGGCTTTTATGAAATATACACCAGAAAAATAAATTCAATTATTCAAACTTATCCATTACATGGATAATGGATAAAGATGAATGATAACAGAGCTGTCAGAGTCAATAAACATTCTACAATAACATTTATTCATCCTGATGCAGTTCCTCTGTTAAGCGTTCACACATCTGCTGATAATTTCCCTTTGTGGTGTGGCTGGCCTGGTGTTGAAGAGATTTGTCCAATCGCTGGAAAACCAACTCAGGCGTTATTTGGTGCCTCATCAATCTCTGAGTCTGCTTTGAATTTTTCACCCGTGCCATTCTTCAAAACTGCCATCAAGTAAACAGTCTGTCCCATCAAAGCAAAGTTACTTCATGAGTGCCAAGTTTATCCAATACTCTCACTTTACATCTCAGTCGAGACACTGGATGTAATTAAACAAGCGTAAGTTTGTATGCTTCTCAATTTCTCTAAATTTCCTTATTCGGACAAAAATTTTCATCGAATGCCATTCAGCATTCTTAAACATGGCATCCCTGTGAAGGAACATATGTACATGTACACAGTGGTGTCTGCAGATACGAGAGTGCATACATGTATATGGTACTTACATGTGAACATGTACATGTAGATATATACAGGTACATGTGCACTGTATACCTGGACAGTATTGCTCTACATGTACATGGTACTTACATGTGAACATGTAGATATATACAGGTACATGTGCACTGTATACCTGGACAGTATTGCTCTATATATGTACATGTACATGTAAGCCTACATGTACAGTTAACACGTATGCATATAATACTTGAGTACTTGTACATATTGAATCAAGCCTGGACATTTACACGTGGATGTGTAGCATTGCCGATTGTTTTTATGCACTTCAGCATATATATACATTATACATACATGTACATGCATACCAGTACATGTACATGTACATGCATGCACATTGCACACTGTGAATACAATACCAGCTTGACAGGGCAGGGCAGTTTATGTACATTGTGTCTACTCCTAAATGAGTCAACACTCTGCCAGGCTGTGTATAACCATGGAGGTAGAATCACACCTCCATGGTATAACCTGCATTCACAGCCAGCCCCAGCAATGTTATGAATGTTGGCAGGTCAGAAATGTCTCCTAATCACACAGCTGTCAATTTTTCTCTCCCAGGTGACCTTGAGATCGGTTTAAAGGTCCACGCCCTTTGACCTGTTGTAGCATGGTGAAAACAGACCACTATATTGGTGTTTGGTTATCACAGACAACCCCATTTACCATACAAGTAACATTTGGGCTGGTTATGGTAAACTTGAGGGGAACCCATAAAAGGCTTGAAAAATTCTGTTCAAACCTACCTTATGTAAATCTGATCACCCAGGACATTTCTAGAAAGCTGGAACAAAACCCAGCCATGAAGACTGTACCAAAGATTTTAACGATCCAGTGTTTTCTCTCTTGCTACCACTTCCCTGCTCCTTCCCATCTCATCCCCATGACCCTCGACCTTTGACCCTGGCTCCCCCCTCCTACACTGCTTCTGGGATATGCAGCATGCCACAGCAGTAAGTAGCCCCTCCCCATTGCTGAATATTTGTGTGTGATTGTGACATAACATTTCGTAACATTAACATGTAGCTTTTGCTCTTCCACAAATGTTTTTTTTTTTGTCTAGCCTACATGTACATGATGTAGTGTGGTACCGGTACATATGTTTTTTTTTTGATCTTCAAGACCTAATAAAGTATTTCTTTTCAAGAGCTAACATGTTCTGTTTATTTGCACTATTCGTGGACTTGTTGGATACACGTGTTTAGTTTGCAAAACTCCATCGTTTCTTTTTCTTGGTAAATGTACGATTTACATGATGATTTGTTTTTATGAACCCACTGTAAAATATTCCTTCAATGCCTCAATATGAAAAACTAACATACCAGTAAAATGATGCCTGTTTTTATTACACATTAGTAATAAAGACACTGGAAGCTTTTTCGGTTAACTGGAGTGTTGTATTTGCTGATGAATTCAGCGCCGATCCATTGAGGGCAGTGTTGCATCTCTCTCCTATTGCTTGTGAGTCCACATATAAGCCATATCTGCAAACAAGGAAAGTACAAGGGCCAAGTAATGTACACAAATGAATGTGGAGTCTTCACATCAACTGACAAGTACATGTAGTGTATGTTTCCATGCGTCATTTTATAGGTCTATTATTGTACATGTAGCTGTACGTGTGAACACCATAAAAAGCCCGTCTGAAGTTCACTGATGTACATGCGTGTCTGGAGAGATTTTTTGTCAATGCACTGTCAAAAAGGAAATACTTACATTGTAATTCGTTCATCTACAGTGGTGGTACATGTATGTTATTGTATGTGTAATGTTATTGTGTATGATTTGTGTGCGTGGCAAGCATGTTTATTTTTTTATTAGTAATTTTAGTGTGCCATTTTTTTCTGGGGCCGGAGAGAGTTGTAATCTAATGAATCCTTGCTGGGCGTCGGAGTGAAAATAATGCGCTGAGGCCCAAGTTTCCAGCTAACCTTATTTGCCTGTGCATAAATCCAAATTCATTGGGAGAGGGTGGGATGTGTATCAGTAACATAGTGTGCCAACCCCTGGCAGTGGGATTTACTCAATGTGTTGGTAGAAAGTCTTGCTGGAGGACAGTAATAGTGAAACCACATTCTGTTTATATTTGTGCCATCTGTGTCAGTGACTGTCGGAGGGATTTACAAAATTGAGATTTGACGTGAAAATCCAGGAGCACATTCCTGATTTATGTGTTCTTGCCACTGTCGGTTTAGCCTTATTCTTCGTTTCTTTTTTCATGATTTTTAATTGTTTTGCCTTCGTGGACTTTTTGGAATTGCACTCCGAGTGATAGCACTGAAATCTAATTTGGTATGGTTACAGAGGAATTCTTCGAAGAACTTACTGTACCCAACTAAGCTTTTTCAGCAGCTAGGAAATCAAATGCTTTCACAATTGTTTCAACTCACTTTTTTGCTTTTTTAACACAATAGCTGTGCCATACAAAGATAAAAGAAATGAACTCGGTCCAATTTAATAAAAATTAAATATGCAATTGTCACTTTTTTTAAAATTACTATGTCTGATTAAAAATTTGTTTGAAGAATTCATACTGTTTCTACCTAGCTGCTTAAAAATGTTTGTATGAAGCTTTTCCCTCTCTTTTTTTTCATGTTTTTGTAGAAACGTGATTATAAGCACCCCTGTTATTGTCATTACTTTCATTTCTTCAAATCTAGCATTCCTGTCATGCCTGACAAGTTTATCAGCTTTGGCCCAGTGTCAACAGCTTTTCTAGAAATCCCAGGAAAGTTCAAGTGTCAAGGTTCTTGTTTACATTGGATTTGTCAGGATGGAGGGACCTTTTTTCCCCCTTCCCACTGCCCCTTTGTGAGTTGTTGTCAGTTGTGGAGGCATAAAAGGCAACTGTGGCTAGGAAAAAGGTTAGGGGGGATGGGGCTTATTCCGAACTTGCATACATACACGTACCGCCCTCTGCAGGAGATTGGGTATGGAAAGTAGGGAAAATGCCAGCAGCATTTTGCACAATCAAGTTGAGCCATGAGTTGGCCAAGTTTGCCGTCCTTTGCGACAGAGTGTTAAAAATGGGTAATAGTTCTTGAAAAGTCCCAGTTAAAAAAATCCCCCAAAACTAAAATGAAGTTTCCAATATTGGTTACTCTCTCTGTTGCTGTGTAAAAATTCTTCTGGGTGTGTAAATTGTATTGTATGATGGAACAAAATTTGCACAGATTTCTGAAAGTACTTAGAGGCCTTAAGAATACGGTTGACTCGAAAATATTGTTTGTATCATGAATACATGTACGTTACTAGTCAGTAGCCAGATTTTGTGAATACCATACAAATAGTTCATTTATTCTGTATTTTCAGAGTAGATCGGAACCGTTAACATTTTCATCGGAGGCTGTATTAACCAATTTGCATGTGTCTGTACAAGGATGTACTTCACACCACAGCACATGTTTCACCTTGAATTATTTTGTGCATGATACGCCATCTGTGTCATTGAAACAAAGGAAACATCTTGGTCATCTAACCTTGTGATGAACGTCAAGGATAGATGTTGTACAACCCATAGTGTCCCCAGTAAACGCAGTCTGCATGGACATGGAGCAAACACCAGGAAAGACAAACTCAGCAAAAGTCCTCCAGTGAGCTCCGTTTTAGGATCATATGTTTAGTATTTTTGGACTGGAGGAATGTTTACCGGAGTCCTGAGTTTATCCCATGAGGCTGTTTGGTGATGGGACACATTGAGGGAAAATTGGTGGCCTTTGAATGTCCCGATCGAAATGTCTAGGAGAGCTAGTGCCCTCATTTCAGGCTGTACAAATAATGTGTTCCTTTCATCCGAACATGTTTACTTTAAATAGGGCCCAAGGGAGTAATACAGAGAATCATGTGCCGTGGCTCTGTTCCAACCACGAAGGAAGTGGTTTACAGAATGTTAGGCACGTGCTGAGGATGTGACGTTCATTGGTACCTGAGCCTGTACCACAGGGTTGCTGATGGGAACCGGTGAATATATTTGTACGGCACATGGCGATTGTTGCAGTGGACAGACAGTTTTAGTCTTACCTCGCTGTTCAAATCCTCAAGAGTGAGCTGTAAGATGGCACCAGGCAACTGGGGAGCTATTTTGATCACCGTGACTCACGATGATCAAATGGGGGGGTGGTCTAAAATTGTCTGATCCCAGAGGCATGTTGATGAAAGAGTTGGAGACTTACTCCATCATTCCTGGCTCAGGGAAGGCCGAAAAGAGCGTGGATGTGCGATTGAAGAGAGGGGGGAATTGTTGGTTGAGTCTTGATAAGTCTCTTGGGAAGGTCTTTTCAGCTGGAATCCCATAAATAGCCAATTCCTGGAGATGGCAGATTTGAATGAGGCTTCTCGTGGGTGCGGTCATGGGCTGATTATTTTCCCCTGGAAAATCTTCAAATTTTTTCACTTTGGAACTCCTACCATAAATGTACCATCCTCTTGCAATTCCAATGCTAGGCTTTATAACAAGGGGGAAGTTCAATATTTTGTAATGATCCCCTCACTAGCCTCTCAAATTCAATCCATCATCCTGCAAATGCGTGTCCAGTCGCTGATGATTTGCCTTATTCTACCATAAAAAAATCTAAATTGAGCAACTTTAAGCCCTCATGAATATGCATGAACATTTATCTCCCTCCAAATCATTTTCAAAATAAAACATTCTTTTTTGAATAACCGTTATTTATGCACAGGTACGGTAGCGTTTCCCTCACCGCAATCATGTGACGTTGACACAAGCAGGGGCCAATTTCAAAGAGCTGCTTAAGCACAAAACTTGCTTAAGCACGAGAAAACCTCGCTTGATAAATCAGGTCACCAGCCAAAACTCGCACGAGAAAACCATGCTTGATAAATCAGGTAACCAGCCAAAACTCCATGTGATGTATATTGTTTTGGAATCATATTTAGCTGTCTTTTGGTTAGCATGACAATTAGATAGAGTTTGAGCTGGTAACCTTTGTGTTTTAAGCAAGGTTTTTTCACGCTTAAGCAGATTTTGTGCTTAAGCAGCTCTATGAAATTGGCCCCTGATTTCATGACTACGTGTGTTACATTTACTTCCCACAGAAAAAATGTGCAGTGTCCTCTGCATAGAATTTCCTCATGCATGTACATGTATAACCCATCTTGAACCTTCCTGCCTTTATAATGCCAATCAGTACAAAAACCCTGCTTACAATATGCTACTCGCACATTTATGCCAACCAAACTGGCACGAATGTAATCATCCTAATGAATACGACTCCTATCGGTAGCTACTCATGAAATAATCAGGTTACAGCATCTGCTGCCTGGCTGAAATATTAATTTGCAATCAAATATGCTGCCAAGCCACCAGGTTTTTTGCTGGCATTGGTCTGTAGGCCAGACAGTCTGCTTGATGACGCCAAGGTTCATAGTACTTCCCATGGTCCAATGCCAACAGGAAACTCATCAATGTTATCTGATAAATGCCCTCTGCATTGACCTTAAGTCGACCTGGATGTGGCCTCAGGTCAGGAAGGATGCCCTGCATTTTTCATGGAATGAAATTTACCTGTGTTTACCTTGTTGTTGAAATTGTAGCACTAATAAAGTAACAAAAGTGTGACAGTGTACAGGTTTAAACTAGTACTTTAAAAGGTGGATCTTGGTCCGTTGATAATTGTCCAAGCCAAGGCAGGGGCCATTACTGGCGCCCGGCTCCTCACTAGTTTAAAACATATACGAACTAGTTAAAAACCCCTTTTTCAAACTTTTATTTCCAAGCATACTGGTACCTTTTGGCTGAGAGCATTAAACACACTGCCAACTATGAGTATATTCATTGTAACAGGTGTACTGGATTCTGCCACTGTGAGTATACTCATTGGAAATGAAAGGCCGTTGTAAGGTAAATTGAATAGACTGGCAACACAACAAATACCCTGCTGGCAGTGTTGAGGAGATACATCTGTAAAATGCTCATGTTCAAGTACATGTAGACACCTGAAAGGCACCTATTAAATATGCGCGCATGCGTACAATGCCTGGCAAATGTGAACACCCCTTTGAAATTATGCGCAGCAGTCATCATGTTAAAAAGGCTTCGGCAATCCCAGTCAAGTCTGAAATTTGGACATGCAGACTGCCATTGTGCTATGCATCATCTTTCAAGCCGCATTCCAAGAGGTTTTTTTTTTATTTATTTCATTTAATTATTTTTTTTATAACAGCTTTTAAATTCACATAATCTTTATAATTTAATGCTTTCTGGATGTTATGTTTGCTCAAATAAATCTATATTTGGGATGAAAGAAATTGGCCCGTGCTTGGTAATAATCATTCTGGATCAGACACTTTGGACCTATCAGAAGAGGCAAGCTGTGTTTGGGAGGCACATTTATTCATTAAGATGTAATATTAATGGGCATAGGGAGCCCTGGAACTTGCATTTTATAAGTTTGAGTCTCATGGCAGGATTTTGATTAAGTACCATGCACTTGGCTTCGACTCTCCACTAGTCACACCCAAGCATGCAGCCATGTATGATCAGTGTTTTCCACCTTGTCCTTGTCAAATCTTCAGACTACGCTGGAACTGCATTTGTAACCCTTTAACCTATGTACTCCAGGTTGAATTGTAAATTAAAGTGGAGATTTTTACTGATGTAATTACATGTAGGTCATTCGTCAGTGGTTCTCACTGTCTTATGTAACGGTCAATTCTTGTTTTCTCCCAGCACTGAGAGCTGCTTTCTGTTGAACTTGTTGCTGATCAGGAATGGGTTACACGGGCGTACACTTACACCGATCTTTTTAAATAATCTAATCTTAATCTAAATATGTACCTGCAAAGTTGGCACGGTTTCCAGAATGCATTTCTCTAACACTGAAAAAGAAAACTTCTTGTTGCTACCAACTTTGCCTGTGACCTGCATTGTGGATTCACCATCAAGAATCCTGTGTGTGACTAATGACACTTCAAAGCCCCAAGCACTCCAAGAATGAAATGTTCACCTGCTTCCCTGACTGAGTGACTAACGAGCCTTATGGATGGATGTGATTAATTACTGACCACCTGTGTGGACTAGTCACTAACACTTCCCAGCGGGGTTTCAGTACAAAGCTCCACAGGTTCTTGAAACTAGAAAGCGATTTGAGACATGTAGCAATGAACCAATACAGTCATTTGCAAAAGTTTAGGACCACCCATAGAAAATGCATTAACCTGAAGGAAAACCAAACTTAAACCAATCGATCATGGCAACTTATGTTTGTTTTCAATGCGTAACCTTTGCACCTTGGTTGAACATTTTTGACTACATTACCATGATTTGACATGTTAACAGTCTAATATTCAGTGTGCCCTCCCTTATTTGTGATTGCTTTGTCTGGCCTTTTTTTACCCATGCTGCCTTGCAGACAAAATGTCATACAAGACCTGCCTTTGCAAAAAATTTCATTCAAATGGGTATATAGCACTACACTGATGTTTATGCACCACTGTAAAATCATGTTAAGTAATCATTCAGTGAGACAATGTAATGCAGACCCAGTGACAGAAATACCAATAAAATTCAAGGTGGTCTTAAACTTTTACAAATGACTGTGGTGCAATACAAACTCGAACACAACGTTGGACACTTTGCTCATCTTGGTGTGAAAAGTCTCCACAGTTACAGTTCAGTGCAAATAAATAAGTGATGCCAGTACTTTCCCTCGTGCACAACATAAAGTATGTTTCTTAACCTGGCTTGTCCCATCTCAATTCCGGATCCTTCGTAATCTATCACAAGAATTTGGAGTTTTGCAAGATTGAAGAAAGCTGCTGTTATGTTACATGGTGCTGTGAAACTTGTTAAAGTCAAAAGAATGTGGAATTCGGTTTCGGCACAGTGGTAGATTTGTGAGAATTTTAGGAAGTCTCTTAACAGGAATGCTAAGGGAATTACAATAGTTTCTTAGCAATGTAGCCATCCCCTATCTCTTACAGTTCGGCACAGACTGTCAGAGAGTCCCACCAGGCACTTAAGGTCCCCAAAATGAAAGAGTTGATCATTCCTACATGCGTTTCTCATCCACATCATTCTTGAAAGGTGCTTGAGGTTTTATGTTACTTTATGTTGTCCATTGAGACCCTTTCAACCTGTCAATATCATTGCATGTAAGCGACATTGTACCTGAGTACATTTCTTTCCCCTTTAGCATTTCCATTAATCAGCTGGCCAAAACCGTTAACTGTCTTTTGGAGGCCTTTCTAACACCAAAGCAGACCAATCTTAGTTTAATCAAGTTTGCAGCATGTAACGTTACAAAAATAACTATAATTGTAAGCATTGCTAGGTGTCAGCATTTTCACCAAAGTACACTCTACTCCCACCAAGCCTTACGATATCATCCTGTTACCATCTCTCCAGGTCATCCAGCTCTTTAAGGGATGCAAGCCAGAGGACATGCCACCCCACATCTACGCCACGGCGCAGACGGCCTACCGCAATATGCTGGCCACCCAGCTGGACCAGTCAGTAGTCTTCCTGGGGCGGAGCGGGGGAGGGAAGTCGTGGAATGCGAGGCACACCCTGCAGTACCTAACCCAGGTGGCGGGGACCGTCAGCAACATGGTGACAGGTGACTGACCGCCGGAACCTTTCTCTCCCACCACATCTCAGCTTCGTCTTCTATGAGACTTCGTCTCAAGCTCTGCAATGATTTCCAATCAATTAACGTTTTGAACCAACGGAAAAATACTTCAAACCCTGGCCTCATACTTTGTCAGTGAAATAGTCCTGTCATAAAAGAACATGGAGTTTCATCTGCTGGATCTTAGTTTAAAGGATTAAACTCGTGAAATTGAAGCCTGGTGCCAAAGATAGATGATGGAGCTGCAATTTCTTGGTAAAGGAAGGAGGATAAGTGAACAAAATAAACTGAAAGTTTCCAGTGATGTCTATGAACTGTTGGACATGATACTAGCTGATCTCTTGCATGGACCATACATGTAAAGTACATGTAGGTTTGGGCAACTTCAGCTGTTTTAAATGACTACTGAATCTCTCCAGGAGTTGCCATCCTGTTTGTAATCAACCCCAAATTCACCCGACAAAACAGATCGCATGGAAATCATGGCTGGTTACACAAAAGTAAAGGTTAGATTTTACATTTTCCCCCCTCACTCAGTTTGAATGTCTGTGACCTTTGCCCCCAAACAGTGGACAAGATCCAGGCCGTGGCTACCCTGGTGGACGCCTTTGGAGGCGCGCGGACTGTCCAGAACACCAGCGCCACACGCTGTTCTCAGATCCTCTCCCTGGACTTTGACCACATGGGACAGATTGCCGCCGGCTCCCTGCAGGTAAACAGGAAACCACTGCCATCCAGGTCTTCCTTAGGAGACTGGGCCAAGGAGGGGTGACCTGGTAGACGGCTTTTTTGTCCCTTCAACTTCTGCAAAAGCTAAAGCTCAGACGGAGGAGCTGAACTGCAAAAACACAAACGTGTTCAGCAACCCAGTTTCAGAAACATAAATTCTTCAGTAGGGCTTTTTCTGATCAAAATCCCCAACTCTTGCATTTATGTTTGCCTTGTTTCTTTGACTCTGATGTACCGTGGGTAGCTGTTAATATTTTGCTGTGTGAAAAAAGAAAAGTTAAACGTTATGGACAGAGTGGCTTGTAAAGATCATTGCATTTAGCTTTAATTGCACAAGGGGTAAATTTCATGGAGCTACGCTGAAAAATTACAGTGCACGGAAAAAATTTTGACTTAATGGCAAAGATGGATCCCCTGGGCACAGAAATTTGCTAAGCAAAGTTTGTGTTTGGAAGTATAACATGCATCTTTCTCTATAGCTTATGATTGTAAATAAGCTACATGCACATGTATGTGTACACTGATTTTCTAAGGAGCAGTTTTCGGTATCGCCAATTTTTTTTTTTAAGTTTTGTTTTGGCGTTGGTGGTTTTGTGGTAACTAGTTCAGCGTGAACAACCTGTGTAACGATATAAGAACTTTGAGTTTGAATTGGTCTCCAATATGGCATATTAGAATGTCAAATGAAGCAGAAATTGCAGGAAAGCCCGATGGAATTTCAGTGGACTGGACATGGATCTGACTCTTTTCATGGTATTTCCTTATGTCTCTCTGTACAGATCCTGGTTTTGGAGAAGTATCGTGTGGTCAGGCGCCCAGCCAGTGAGAGGTCTTTTAACATCTTCTACAGCCTGATGGGCGGTGCAGACGAGACACTAACGTAAGTCTCTGACTTCCTTGCAAGAGAGACTGGAATCAAGTTCAGTTGACTATGAGTGAATCCCAGGTCCCCGGGCATAATCATCCAGTGGTTAACGAATGGTTGCCAACGAAACATAGGCTAAGTGCACCATGGAAAAGGTTGCCAGCAGAGGTTCTTATACATGTGTAAACAATGATATTTCTCAATAAGTTATACATGTATTTAGAAGATTAATTACTTTATTTCTGTTTGTTTCAGGGAGTGCGGATATGCGTTTTGTCTGCCCCTCTTTAGACCCAATGAAAAATTTGTGAAAAACGTGGAAAAAAAATGAATGAATGAAAAAGTCATGTGTCAGCCGTCTTCAGTTGAAAGTGAAGTTAACTTTTCATTGTTGGAACCCAAGAGTAAAAATAACAGAAACAAAATCAAAGTTTACTACAACTTAATGCCAGTTTACTTTCAGAAGAATTTAGAATCATGGCATAAATTGTGTCTGAATGTTTTTAACCACATTAAAAAACTGAAAGTGAGGCTTGGAACCCCCAAAAGTCTGGCACCACCCCATCTGACACTTTTCATTGAATATGATAGATTCAGGGAACACGATCCAAAATGGCTTCCCAGTTTATGAGGTCCACTGAACTCTGGTGTTGTTTTCTCTTTTTTGTCAAATTGCAGGAAGGAGCTGTTCCTGAACCATTTAGCACCAGATAACGTGTACATATCTCCCTTGCAGAGGGTAAGTTGGTCTTCAGAACCACTCCGGATATTTCTCTTTACAATGAGGAGCCGAGCAAGCTCCAAAGTTTGACCAACTGTGGAAGTGTCACAGCATTTTGATAACTGAATTCAAAGCTCTGTCCTGCGTTGGGTATGTCTTGGCCCTCAGTTGTTCCTTCAGGCCCTGATTTTAGAAAAGAGTGACTCCATACGAAAGTGGACAGTCGGTCACACTGTTACCAACCTCATTTCCAAAAATATTCTTTATAAAGAGAGGATTTGAAAAGAAGACAGTGGAAATAATCAGTAGTACCATCACCTTGAAGTCCACTTTCAGTTTCTCCTACCAGTTTTTTGTTTGCTAGTTATCAAGTCAGTAACAGTTTGCCCACTTGCACGTGGAATTGCCCAGTAGTTGAAACTTCCTTGTTTCTCAAAGTTTGTCAGGCCAGTGTGTTAAAAAAGTCTGTGAGAATCAAAATATAAAGCAAACATTAATTTTGGCTTAATATATGTAAGGATAATAAGGTCTTTGCGAGTTAAATTTGAATAAAATCTGGTACACTGAGTTAGCTGATTGCACATAAACATAACAATTCCCCAGACTAAATATACTGTTGCTATACCTCGTGATTTGGGGCAAGCTTTTGCATAGTGACCACCATCTCTGGAATGGACTGGTTCCTTTGTGCCCTTCTTATCCATTGCAAACAGTGTATTGGTGCAAAGCATCTCTTATTTAACTATAAGCAAAAGCTTGCTCTGAATCACAAGGTATAGCAACAGTGTCTTTAGTATGGAGAGTTCAAATTGTTATGTTCATGTGAATTTAAAGAACTCAGTGTACCAGATTTATTCAAAAGTAACTCGCAGAAGGCTTATTGCATGTATAGTGTGAATCTTAACAAACCTTCTGGAAAAGAGTTTTGAATGGATTTTTTTCCCCCCTAGTCGGAGGAGAAGCAACCAACCACAACAGCTTGGAATAAGGTCCTGCATGCCTGCAGTGTGTTGGGCTTTTCCAGCGAGCACTGTAAGGCGCTGTGGTGCGTCTTAGCTGCCATCATCCATCTGGGTGCAGCTGGAGCGACCAAAGGCTAGTTGGAACTTCGATTCCCATCATGTATTAAGAAGGAGCCAGTTTATTTCAGAAAAGCAAGATCGTTTGAAAACAAAGCATGCTTGTGTCAGCATATGGTCAGACCTTGAGCGCGCGTATTGCTGTTCTTGAATAACTTGGACATGCTTCAATTTTGGCATGCAAGTTTGGAATACCAGACTGGCTCATTGACAGTAATCTAGTATTCAGAATAGATACACAGGAACTTAGGTATTGGGAGTGAATTGTAAAATGAACCCAATTGAGGTTTCTACCAATCAATTTTTATATGAGATTTTATACCTGTAATGAAAATCTGATTATTTGGTTTTCCCTTCCCGGCATAACTTATGAAGCCCTGTGAGCTCCATGTTTTGGGGAAAATATTAACAAGCTTACTTGAGTGGGACTCAAGCCTGGGACCCTCCTGCTTAATAGTGTAGGTGTCTCTTCGAGCTTGTCAGAGGGGTCAGCCGGCTGGCTGGTTGGAAGAAATTACGTTGGCGAAGAGCAAAAATTAAATGTTTACCGTAACATCTCCCGGAGATAAAAGGCCTTCAAGAGTTACTGCAAAGTTGTGATTTCTCAGGATTTTTCCAAAGTTGAGGATTTTTTTTCCTTACATGTGTTTGGATTTTAGAAGATTTATTACTCAGGTGCGGCTACATTTTGTCCAAAAACTCAATGCAAGATTTTCACTATTCCCGGTATTTTAGAGAGAACTAGTGTCATACTAGCCATTTAAAGCCCTGAAAATTTACCGGATTTAATTAATGCCATCGTTACATCCCCTGTACCAGATTGATTTGGGATTTCCCTATATCGGAAAGCCCAGCACTGGTCACTGACCAACCATCTCTTGTGATCATGTTAACAGGCTCTGGGAGCAGCAAAGCCCAGTTCCGCAAGCCCACCGAAGCCCAGAAGGCCGCCCACCTCCTGGGCATCAGCTTAGAGGAACTTGCCAAGAACACCTTCAGCCCCCGCCTGGGGGGTAACGCCCCCCGCGGCAGCCTGAGACCGGTGGTCAACGACCCCTCGGAGCAAGGGGCCACGCCACGGGACGCCCTGGAGAGCATGATGGTGGGGCTGTACGGTGAACTAGTCAACGCGGTAGTGTCGCTGATAAACAAGTGAGTGTATCTCCAGGCTGATCTAGGCTATGGCAACCCTTACTGTGAAGTTGTTTTGTTTTAAATTCCAGAATTTTCTGTGCAATATTTCCTGTGACTAGTAAATGAGACTTGCACACTGATGGTATGTCTTCTTGACAGGTGAATGCATCCCCGTAATAATCTAGGGTGTGGCACCCCTTGGTGGGAATACATAGGTTGAAAATTTCAGAATTTCTTAGTCTTTACTCAAACAGTGAATGGCACTTGTCTGTGCAAACTTTCTACAAAATATTTGCCTTGACTGTAACAAACATGCGTGATGGTGATCGGCTAGTCGAAAACATTAGATTTTTATTCAACGTTTCAAACTATTTTATTCATTTAGGGCCCTGTCAAGTTCGTATCGGACCGTGTCATCCATCTTGGTCGTGGATGTCCCAGGATTTCAAAACCCCACAGCCTGCGGCCAGCCGGGTGGGGCCTCCTTTCATGACCTCTGCATGAACTATGCACAGGAACGCCTGCAGTTACTGTTCCACGACGCCATGTTCACCGCGCAGCAGGACAAATACGCACAGGTCAGGGCAACACGTAGTGGAGAGTTATGAATCTTCTTTGGTGGTCTGGCAGGATCTTTGACAGAAGGTTATGGGTCCCACCTGATAAATAGTAAACAAATAGGATGGGAATCAGTCGCAAACAGTTCACAAATGTAGCAGTAATGTGGCCAGAGGTGAATACAGTGTACTTGTGAAAACACTGGTTGCCAGCCAAAACGTAAAGTATGTATGTTACTGCTGACAATGTGCATTTCATGTTTTGAAACATTTAAAAAAATTTTTATTCCAATGAGACCACCATCTAGACAAACACAAGAGTGAATGAACTAGACCCCACTCATTGCTTGGAAAAAAAATTACAAGAAAAAAGGGGTCCTCAACTTTTTTGGAGTAGTGTGTATTGCTTGTGACTAGTTTCTTGCTTAGTCTGCTCGGTAAGGCAGTAGCTTAGAGATACTAGCAGTGACGGCTAGTTGAATGCGTATGTAAAACCTTTATTATCCGGGTATGATTTTTTCTCTGAACCCCACACAGAATTAATGAATTATTGTTTTGCAAAGTTTGTAGCCTTGCAGAGCTAAATTGTGGTGTTTTTTGTGTGTATATATCTAATCTTGCCTTGCTGGTTTTTGGTTGCAGGAGAATATCGACTGTCAGTTTGAGCAAGCAGACACCACGCCAGAAGCCATGGTCAACCTCCTTGATAAACAGCAGGGTCTGGTAAGAACTTTGCCGCAGACAGACGATTAGTTTCAGTTTTTACAAACGACTGCAGAATTTGATTCTGTCTTGTTGAAATATTCCTGCGAGCTTGAAATGTCAGAGTCTCCAACTGTTAGTTCGGGTCGTTCCAATCTGTAAACACTCTGCCGTAGCATTTTTCTTCTTACCAAGACCTTTATGGGAAAACAGTAACCAGACAACGCAGTGCTAAGACATAGTGCTAAGAATGTATGTCTGAGTGTAACCGGTCATCGTATCAGGTGGATACCTCAAACAAGATGCGTTGTGTTTCCTTCCCATGTTGGCCAAATTTATAACTGCCAGTTTCAGTTTCAAGGATTTGTCATCTCTCCTCTGTTCAAAGATGCGGTCTTCCAACTTGGACCTTAGGGATGTGGACCAGAAGGGGCTACTCTGGCTGCTGGATGAGGAGTCGATATTCCCTGGAGCCACCGATGAGAGTTTCATGGAGAGAATCACCATCCATTACGGCCACCTGGCCAGAAAGAGTAAGTTTATAAAAGGTTTCTTCCTATCTGCTCCGAGCGGAATAACAGAGGGCGTATTTTTTGGTACTCACTGCATAGGCGCACCATGAGGCGTGCAAGTATATGCGCGTTTGACGAGGAGCACGCTGAGTACGCGTAACTAATTTACTGCGGCATGTACGGTCGTTGCGTACACGCAGACCGCGAGCAAGAACCCGCTTGTAGCTACCTGTCGTTTTTGCTGACTGGGGGTGCACTTCAGCTCGGGGCAGATAACCCTCTTGTAGCCTCCAAAGTCTTCCAGGAAGTTGGGGAGGGTTTTCAGTGCATTTGGGAAAGGTTGAACCTAGCCACAGCTTGAAGCAGCATGCCCAAATATCCACTGCGTTTTTAATTATTTTTCCCCGATAACTTTCTTTGTAATTTTGTCAAAAGTGACACAACACATGGATCAGGAGATTATCTGTAGGAAAATGCTGACTGTTTTTAGAACTTTTTGCTGACCGTATTTTTGCATCCGTGTCGTCTCCAGAAGACGGTCTCCTACGAGGATGTAAGGACAAGAACAACTTCATCTTGAATCATTTCCAGGGCACGACACCGATCCAGTACAATGCCACTGGCTGGCTGAGAAGCTGTCGGGAACATCCCGTGGTCCGGATGGCAATAGTCGTCCTCCAGGAATCACAGAAGTGAGCCCACATTTTGTGTTCATTGTTGCAATTCACCAAATTAATTGTACATGCACTAGGTCGAAAGATGCTCTGCTATACTGTCGAATATGTTTTGTCTTTCGTTAAATTTGCTTCCGATTCAGTTCAATTTGCAATTTCCTCTCAAACACAGACAGTAGCAATCTCATCCATGAGATAATAATTGCCTCACCCGTTTTTGAATTTGTTGCAAAATTGTTTCAAAGAAGGACTGATCCCTTACTTAATAAGTACAGACAAACTATAGTAGCTTTAATGATTTTTTTTAACCCTAAACTAAGTTCCAAAATTGGTAGTCTTATATTCAGTGTCACCAAGAGCATTGAGATTGTTAGAAATCCCACTTATGTAGGTACATTCAGTTGATTTTTCTGTTTCTAAGGTCTCTTAGAAGAAGGTAATTGTCTCTTCTGAGTATATCTTAGGCATTTGAATTTTAAAGATGTTTCCTGTGAAACCAGAGCTGAATATACAGTGCTTAACAGATAAAAAGTAGACTCATGTTTGAATCAATAATTCGGGTGAGGGTCTCACAATTTAATACATTGAGTCATTGAGTCAATTGCATTTTGAAACTGCAGGAATAACATCAGCGGCTTGTTTGTGAGTCTAGCGGGCTCCCTGCCCAGTACGATGGTGGGCTCGGTCGCGGGCATAGAGGGCAGCTCATCACTGCGTAGGGCGTCAAGTATCCGTAGGGCGTGGTCCAGCGGCACTGCTGCCATTAAACGCAAGTCCATCTGCCTACAAGTCAAATTCCAAGTGGTGAGTTCTGTTGGCATAGGTTTGGTCCTTTGCAGTGTACAGAGCCGAATAGCAACTTTCAGGTGGCAAGAGAACGTATTTATACACACAGAAATGCAGCTCAAATTCTGCACATCTGAAGCAAAAAATGCTAAATCACTACGCCCAAGGACTACTTTTTTGTATTAAGTGGATATCAAAATTTTGTAATGAAATGCAAACATTTGCCCAACTTTGGATATGTCTTGGTGGCACGTAACTTTAACCCCTTCATGGCGGAATTATTTTGACCGTGACTGCTGGGCTGTGGTATGCCCTGAATGGAGGGCTTTGTCCAGCAGCAGGGACCATTGAACCAGCAGCTGCATGGTGAATAGACTGTATGTGTGGTATGCACTAATCCTCACACAACGGTGCAGTAGTAGCAGTCCTCCGTAGCGAAGGGGTTAAGCATTACTTGAGTTGTGAGAGTTTTTATTCTCACAACAGAACACATTTTGTATGTAATCCTGTCAAATGAGTTTCTTGTGTTGTGTAGTTTCTCAAAAAAAACTTTCAGCTGTCACAAAACATGCAAAATGTAAAGTTTTGTAAGCGATTGACGTTAGACTGTACAAAGGAGTTGGCCAAATGAGGAATTAGAACCTATGATCAGTGGAATATCGTGACCAGTTGAGCAAGCCAGCCTTAGGTTTGGTGTCGCCTGAACTGATTTGAATTTTTTCCGGCATTCTTGACGCAGGACGGTATTGTGGACTCCCTGCGTCGTACCCGCCTACATTTCGTCCACTGTCTTCTCCCCCAAGTCAACGCCGGCCTGTGCGAGCTGAAGAACCTTGGGGCCAAATCCCCTACCTCCCCAACGCCCACCTCCGACGGGCTGATCGACGTACCCTACCTGAGGAATCAAATCCGAGGACTGGAGATCTTGGAGTCCACCAAGCTACACAAATATGGTGCACATTATCCCCTTTGTCATTTCCATTGACAAAGCAATTTCTTTCAACCTTTTATACTAGGTTTTTCCTTACACCTATATATATATGTTTAACTACCAGTAAACTTCAGTTCTCAATTCTGATTGGTCAATCCCAA